CACCGTTCTCTGGGCCCGGCCATCCAGACGGTTCTTCACCCAGCAAAATGTACAGGTCTGTAAGCCTTGAGCTGCCCAATTCTCCAGGAGGAGGTAGTGAGAACCTGTTCCAAAGTCCTTCCTGCAGTCTAAGTAGAGAATGTCCATAGCTTTTCCCTCTTTGGCTATGTGGGTCCCCTGGTCATAGAAGGATAAAAGGTCRGTCAGGCAGGAATCCATATTGGCTGAGCCTCGTCCTCTGGTTCTCACTCACATGCTGCATGACTGCCCACAAGATGGTCTACACCAGAACTTCCCGCAATACYTAGCACAGGCTGAGAGGTCTGTACTTCCCTGGATCCTCCATTCGACTCCTTTYATAGATGGACATCACATTGGCAAGTCTCCAATCAACGGGGACCTCCCCTGTTGACCAGGACCACTCCCAGGTGATGGAAAGAGTTTTAGTAAGCACTACTGCCTATTCCCTCACAACCCTCAGGTGAATCCTATCTGGTCCCATGGACTTGGGAAGGTCCAARTGACATAGCAGGTCACAGTCTGTTTCCTCTTCCATTATGGGGTGTTTATCCTTCTCTCCATAGGTGTCTTCCAGCTCAGGGGAATAAGTAGCTTGAGAAGAGGTGATGTGGTTGTTAAAGACTGAGACAAAGAAGGCATTAAGGACCTCAGTCTTAACCTCATCCTTGGTGAAAATCTTTCCTGACACATCCAATAAAGGATGAAGATTCTCCATAGCCCTCCTTTTCTTCTTAATATATTTGCAGAAGCACTTTTTGTTGTCTTTTACAACRGGGGCCAGATTGAGTTCCATCCGAGTTTCTGCCTTTCTCATTTCCTAACCAYTGTCCTAAACAGTCCAATGTCTGTCGTCCAGAAGTCCAGCAGAGCTGTTTTGCTGACACCCCTCCTGACTTCACTGACATGGACATCTCTGTCACTTCATGGTCACTATGTCCTAGACAACCTCCTCTCGCCACCACATCTCCCCCCAGTCCTTCTCTACAGGCAAAGAGCAGCTCCAGGGGGGCTCTTGCCCTGCTAGGCTCCCTTCACAGCTCTGATAGGACATTATCTTCCATGCATTGCACGAACCTCCTAGACTCACTCCTCA